CCGGCTCTGGGTGTCTGGGGGGCTGAGGGTGGGTCCAGCTGCACTGTGCGCCTGCCGCCACCCCCCCCCCCCAGCTGGGCTAAAAGGACTGTGGGATTCCGGCAGGGCAGAGGGGACTGGGTGCCACTGTCTTGTGGCTATGGGCGCCACCATCTTTGTGATGGTGCGACAGTCAATTTGCATATTCCCTCTTTATTTGATAGGATATAAAATAAAATATCTAGATAAATATTTTATGTATATATTTATATATATATGTATTATATAGGATGTTTATAAATATATATAAAATATCTAGATATATATGTGTATATATATACATATATATGATATCTTTTTCAATTTAAAGGTTATTATTCTATGCAGATAACAAAAAAAGAATGAAGTATATATGTATATGACATGGGGAAAATATACAATGCATATTCAGTAACAAGCATGTTAAGGAACTCAGCAGTGTAATCCCATTTTAATAAAAATAGTAATGTGTCCATTGAAATAAATCTGAAAAATATATACTAAAGTGTAAATACTGGTTCTCTCTAGAATGGTTTCCATTTCAAAATTGTACCGTTCTGTAGTATTTCTATATTTTTTAGTAATCTCATTTACTTTTGTGGTTAAAAAAATAGCATTGTGTTTTTATTGATTTTAGAGAGAGAGGAAGGGATAGGGATAGAGATAGAAACATCGAAGAGAGAAACATGAATTGGCTGCCTCCTGCACGCCCCCTACTGGGAATCAAGCTGCAACCCTGGCATGTGCCCTGACTGGGAATCAAACCAGTGACCTCTTAGTTCATGAGTAGACACTCAACTGCTGAGTCATGCTGGTTGGGCAAGAGCGTTATTTTTTTTTTAAATATATTTTTATTGATTTCAGAGAGGAAGAGAGAGGGAAAGATAAAAACATCAATGATGAAAGAGAAATATTGATCAGCTGCCTCTTATACACCCCACATTGGGGATTGAACCAGCCACCTGGGCATATGCCCTGACCGGGCATCAAACTATGACTTCTTAATTCATAGGTTGATGCTCAACCACTGAGCCACACGGACTGGGTAAGAACAGTATTTTTATACTACAGGCCGGGTGCCGATGAGAGACGATTGGGGGCAGGGCCGGCCGGAGTGAGGGGCTGCAGTTGTCCTGGTCATTCCAGTCATTCTTCCATTCGGTTGCTGGGCTTTTATTATATAGGATGTTTAAAAAACCTGTTTAAAATAGGAGGAATACTTATTTTAGAAAGAGGGACTTTGTCTCCCTTTTTTCAAGCAGAGAAGAATTCCCTGACAACCTACCAATTCTATAAAAGAGAATCTGTGAGGACAGAAAGTTCAAAATGGGAAGGACTTCTGGACTCAGGTCCCTTTAATGGGGTAGAGCGTGAATAGGGCCTGGTCAGTTTCTCCGGCTTACAAGCCTCTCCTAACCACAAAGCAAACCTGCTTGTTCCCTGACACTCTCCAGCCCAGCTCAGGAGGGTGACTGAGGTCTTGGCCCGCTGCCTTTCAGTCTTGACCCATTGTTCCAGGTTCCCAGCTGACTGAGCATCTGGCAGTTAAGCCAAAGGCCAACAATGTCCTGACTTCCTGAGTAAACACCTGTGAACTGAGAGAGGACGTGGTAGGGTCAGAGCAAGTGTTCAGGGACATAGTAGGGCAAAGAACAAAGCAAAGCCTTGATAGGGCATAAGGAAAGCCTAGGAGATCTTATTCTGGGCCAGTCATTGAATCTCCCTGGAACCCCAGAATTTTCTGTTGCACGTGGTAGGCTTTGGAGCTCTGAGAGGCATGGAAAGGAGGGTGTTCTTTGGCCCAAAAGAAAGTTCAGCTTATGGGGAGAAGTGGGGGGTATTCCAGGCTTTGTACATGTTGTGCCTCAGCTTGTCCTGGCTAGCTTCTATTCATTTTTCAGATTTCAAATTATAGACCACTTCCTCTTAGAAGTCTTCCCCAACTCCCACCACCCCCCCTTTACCACCCTCCAAGAAGGACGTAGAGGCCTCTGCTCACACCGCCCATGCTTTCCCTCACCCAGCACTATCACACTCTAACAGTTACCTGTTTGTCTTTCCTGCTGGGATTTTAACTTCCTGAGGTCATGGACCATGATTGTCTTAACTACTGTATCACTAGCACCTAGATACTCCATAGGTACTCAGAAAATGTTGTGGGGTGTGTTTTTTTCCATTTGACTTGAGAGAGAGATTTGTTGTTCTACTTATTTGTTCATTCATTGGTTGCTTCCCGTGTGTGCCTTGACCAGATAGCAAACCTGCAACCTTTGCATATTGGGATGCTGTTGTAACCAATTGAGCTACCTGGCCAGGGCAGAAAATATTTTGATAATGGATGAATATAATGAAGGAATGGCAGAGAGGGCAAGTGATAGAATCCTTCCACTTGTCTGAAGTGTGGTTCTCAGCAGCCTAGGAAAGAGCCTCCAAAGGCAAAGGGAAGTTTCAGGGAAATTTATCCTCCCTTTTCTCCTCCCCTCTCCTTTCCATTCTTCTGACTTTGCACCCCTCCCTTCCCCACCTCCCAACGCCACATCCAGTTTGGTGTGAGCTTGAGCTCCCTCTACTGGCCATACTTTAGTGGCCGCAGGGAGCCAAGCCCAGGTAACCTCATTTGTTTTTTCTTCCCTCTACCCACTTCTGGGCTCTGGGGTTCATGAGCGATTGGAACATGAAGAGAAGACAGGGCTAGTCAACACACTGGAAGTTTCTTTGGTCTGAGCGCTCATTCCCACCCCCATTCTCATTCTTGACACCAAGGGGACTTCCCTCACACCCTCACCTCATGCTCAGTTTCCTGGAGTCTCCACTCCCAGATTCCTACTCCAGCTAATTCACAGAGATATTGATTTCCGGAGCTTTTGGTTGATACATCAGCTCTGACTGTGGAACAGAGATCTCACGATGAGTTGGGAGTAGACAAAACAAGGCTGAGACAACAGAAAGAAAGGGACCCTGAGAGTGAAAGGATATAAACCCACATTGAGACAAACACCAAGATCAGGGTTGTATCCCCAGCCCTTTCCACCCCCATGGGCTTATAAACCAGGGCCCTGCCTTCAGAAGGAAGATTTCCCTCACCTCTTCAGTGTGCCTATGTCAATACAGAGCTAAGGGGAGTGACTGTATTGACCAGATCTTCAGGCTTAATAGGGATATTAGACTTCAGGGACACCTCCTGGACGACAGTGCATCCCCCACCCCTGCCCCCTGCTCCCGAGAGGGCCCATCCTGGAACTCACATCTTCACTGTCACTTCCACTGAACGAGTACTCTGGCTCCAGCCCCTTCTCAGGGGTGCTCCTTTCCTTCTCCGGCATCAGCTCATCAAGCCAGAGAAGTTCTTGTGGTGAGAAGACCCACTCCAGTGCCTTTCGGACCCCCACCAGGCCCAGCAACTGCAGGGACAGAAACAAAACCCAGGGCTGTCAGCAGCAACAGGAGGAGCATTAACAACAGTAACATTTATTCAGCATTTCCAATGTGCTAGGCATTGCGTACTGTTTAGCTGAATGCTAAGACACTCCTATGAGCAGATACAATAATTACTCTGCCATTGTGCGGAGAAGGAAACTGAGGCCCTGGAAGTTTAGAGACTGGTAACCAGATTGGTCCTATACAAAGCCCCTGGCTCTTAACTTCCTCGGTGAGTAACAACAAAGCCAGAACTACCTATCTGATCACCTCCCTATGGAACAAAAGTGATAGCATTTCCTTTCCCAGGGCCTCAGTTTTTTTCTGGGCTTTCTATCTCTCCCTGTGGTTGCTAAGCCCAAAGAGGCTGGGAAAGGAGTTGAATCAGGCATCCCAGGGCCCATCTGTTGGCATCCCTCGGCCATCTTTATTTGTCCGAGGATTCCCAACCAGGCACAGCCTGGGGCAAAGGAAAGAGGGGAGAGTCTTCCTCTTATGGAAGCCTTGGCCACCCTCCCAGGCTCAGAGTCTCGTAGGAACCCCCCAGGATCCCACCCAACCCTGAGTCACCATGATGGGAAAGATGATGGCTGCAGGTGTAGACTTGATTATCCAAAGCAGACCCAGGCAGGCAAGCTGGATGGCTGTGAAGAGGTGAACCCTGCTCAGAGGCACATGCCTCAAGAGCAGGAGGTCTGGCTGGTGTTTTGCTGGCATCAATAAAAGCTGCGCCCTCTTGGTGAACTGGGGGAACAGGAGGAGGAGGAGAGCAGGGTGTTCAGGCAGCCTGGACAGTGTCTCTGTTAGCCATGAAAGCTCAGCACTGGGGCAGTCAGAGACTCCCTTGGCCCCCTCCTCACCCAGAGCATGGCAGCGGAATCCCTCTGCCCAGAAGAAACAGGAAGAGGACTGGGGGGGGAGGGGGGAGATTGGCAAGTGCAAGCAAGAAGTACCAGCAGGAAAGGAAAGGAGGCGTGGGGTTTCATGGTGATTTTAGGGGGCTCACCTGAATGCTGCTAATTGCTGCCACCCCCATGTACAGGAAGATGCCATAGAGCACAGGCATTGGGATGAACTGGTAGAAAGAAGTGGAGAGCCAGCAAAGGAGTTGAGCTCTGCCAGCAGCCCAGGTGTCCCCTTGGGCTCCAACCCCGGCCTCTAGCACCCAGCACCTAAGCCTAGCCAGGTTTATCTCTTTCTTTCCCACTTTGCATGCCTGATTAATGAGAATCTTCACATAAGTCAGAGGCGGTAAATTCTGTAACTGTCTCCATTTTACAGATGGGAAAATTGGGTTTCAGAGAGATTTGGTAACTGACCCATTACCTAGCTGACCTCTCCAATCTTATCCATCACTTTCCTCTCTGCTTTCTCTGTTCCTGCTATACTGACCTCCTTTCCTTCCCTCAACACGCCCAAGTTTATTTCTACCCCTTGCAAGGCCTTTTGCTTTGCTATTTTCCTCTACCTAAAAATGCCCCGACTTCCTTCTCACTACTCATGACCCACCAGAAAGGTCCTCCCTGATCATTTAAAGTAGAGCCCTGGCACGCCATCACCTTATTCTCTTTTACTTCTCAGAGAAGTGATCACTATCTGAAATTATCCTGTTTTACTGTTGTTGTTTTTCATGTCTCCTCTCACCAGACTGCAAGGGTTGGAGGATCTCTTTCGATCACCACTCTATCTCCAGTCCTGAGACTGTGCTTGGCATAGGGCTTATGCTCGGTAAATAGCTGCCGGATGAGAGTCACCTTGTTAGTAAGCTGCTGATCTGGTCCTTCTGGTTCTTTCAGCCACTCCACTCTCACCCAGCCTCGGTGACCTTTCCCTTCCCTAACCTCCTGTGGTCCTGCCGGTGACTCTGTGGGCCAGGCTCCACACCCTCCTGACTGCTCCGCTGTCTTGGCTTGTTGAACCTTTCTGCTATTACTCGTTAACTTTTGTGTGTGTGTGGGTGGTGCTGGCAGGTGCTTGGTTCTACATTCCTTTTCAAGACTCTCCTCTCCCCACCTTCTCCCAGCTGCCTAGCACAGCCTTGCACACAGAAGGTGTTCTTTAAACATATGGTTCTGGTGAGGAAGAAGGGAAGTGCTTTTGCCTCAAAGTTTTTGTGAGGTGTGATGATCATACTCTGAATCTAAGGCCTGTTGGGAGGCTGGAGCGAGGGCAGTGCTTGGCCTTTGTGTGTGTGTGTGCGGAGGGCATTCCTACACCCTGTACACTGGGTAGAAAGCCTACTTGGTAAGAGTTTGGGTTCTCAGATCTGAGAAACTAGCTCTCTTAGTGACCTACGTGAGCTACTAAACTCCAGGCTCCTCATTTGTAAAAGGTACATGCACCTCGGGGTTAATGTGAGGACTGGATGAGGCCAGGTATGGAGAAGCATGCACTAAGTGTCCAGCCCATGCCAGCTCTTGTATTTATGATCACTACCCTGCCCCTGACGCCAGCCTGCCTAACAATGTACCTTGAGTATAGGTGCCAGGAAGATGGAGATTCCTGTAAGGATGAACACCACCAGGCCGGTCAGCCTCTGCTCCCTGTGGGGAGAGGGAAGAGTTAGCCAGGGTCTGGGGAGCCCCTGGGGTGCCCAGGCTGGAGACCCAAGCCAAACACCACCATAGACCCTGGCAGGGGGGAAATGGAGGGATCCTACAACTGTCACCTTAGCTTGGGGTGAAAAACTGGAGAGGAAGGGGTAGGGCACTTCAGTATGGGGGCCCCAGGCCTCTCCATCAGTTCAAGCTCATAGTTGCTCTTTCTTTTCTTTTTCTTTCTTTTCTTTTTCTTTGTTGTTGTTGTTGAAAAATTAGCAATTTCTACACTGCCATAAAGACTTTCATTTCAGTGTACAAAGTTGATTTCACATACTTTGGACAGATTGTGTTTCCAGCAGTTACAAAATTGTTTTTGTGGTGTTTTACCTTATAACATCAATGAGGTGCTTCCACATTGAGTGGGTTTATTAGGTGGCACCTCACCCTTGCTCAGCCCTGGCTGCCTCCACCCTTACTTCAGTGATGCTCCTCTTGAGGCCCTCCCAGTCCCATGGCTGAAGGAGGAGAGGGGAGATCTGACACACCCATCTCAGAGCCCATTCACCCCCCTGCGATGATGCTGGGCAGTGAGAGAGCCCTCTGGAGCTACCAGCTTAGAATCTAAGCTGCCCGAATAACTCTGCCTTGTCCGTTGCTACCCCACCGTGCTGCCCACCTCTCATTCCAGCCCCCTGAATACCGGCCTCACCTGATGCCCAGGAAGCTGGGGGGCTCCCCCAGAGCACAGGCTCTGCTCTCTCTCCGAAGGCTGTCCATGTGGGCCAGGGAAATGACAGTGGCTGAGACATACCAGGGAAGCCCAAGCGCTGATGTGAGCAGCATCAGCAAAGCCACACAGAAGAGGTCCAGGTGGAAGCCAGCTCCCTTCTGCAGGTAGTGGTGAGGCAATTGGGATGAAACTAGCCCTCTGGGGTGGGAGAGGGGAAACCTGGAACCCACCCTGGTGCTTCTGTCCCTTGGTCCAGGGGTCCAGGGTGTTCCCGGCAGGCCTCACCCGCAGTCTATATTCGGCACGATTGAGAATGACCGCTGTGATCTGCTGGTCCATGAAGATGAGAATAGACAGCAGCAGGGCAGGCAGAGCGGCTGCCACACTCAGCCACCAGGGGTTGGTTCCAAAAGGTGACACCAGCCAGTCACGCCCAGGTAGTGTGGGCTGGGGGGAGGACGGTCCACGGACATATTGGAGAGAGTCTCCCAAGAGCACCTCACCTGTACACTCCAGCCTTGGCATTCTTCCACAACCTCCCTTACCACAGCCCCTCCCCACCAAGGCCCTGGATGCTATGTGGGAGCAGTGTGTGTGTGCATAGCTGGTTCAAAGCATCCCAGTACCTTGAGAGAGGGCAGAAGGAGGGGAACCAGCTAGGGGGTTGGGCTGGAGCCAGAGGCTCTGGACTTTGATTCTCTTGGGCCCTCCCTCCCTGCAAGAGGAGGAGGGCGTAGCAAAGGCCTGCCCATCCTTCTTAGTGTACCGAGCTCTCCTCCCTGGGCACCCCCCTCTCAGCATCCAGGGTGGGGCAACTCAGGCTCAGACCTGCCTTGATCTGGGGCAGGGGCAGGGCTGGGTGTGTCTGCGTCTGCTCTGATTATAAGCGTCTGTGTGGGGGACAGGGCCCCAGATGTTGTTGTCTTGGGTTCTGAGTCCCTAAGGCTGCCTGAATCGGAGTCCCCCTGCTGTCCTTTCTTAGGGGAAGCTGGAAGGGAGGGCTCCAAATGCACAGAGTGTAGGTGCCAAGGTGCTAAGCCCTGATCTATGCACTGTTATGCCTAGAGAGGGAGCCCCAACTTCACTGGATTAGGGCAGGCAACCTGGGGTCAAAACAGAGAGTGGGGAGTAGTGGATGGGTAGGACCGTGCCAAGGGTAGGGAAAACCATGACAATAGTGAGGTCTGGGTATGTGTCAGTCCCAGCATGGTGATAAGTGCTTTACACTATTATCTGTAAACCTCAAAACACCTATGAGTGGGAACTATTGTTATTTATTTCCATTTTATAGATGAATAAATTGAAGATCAGAAATGTGGGTTAACTTGGCTAAGGTCACACAGCTACGAAGTGGCAGAACCAGAACTCAAACCCAGGCCAGCTGACTGGAAGGGACCCATCCTCTTAACTCCATACTATAATAATAGCTACTGAGTATTCTCTGCTCACTATGTGTCTAGAGCAGCATCTCATTCATCCTCACAACTCTGTGAGGCCATTATTATTACTACTTCTATTTTACAAGAGCAAACAGAAACTTGGAGGAGGTGAAATGTGGAATTTATTCATCTTCCCCCTCCAAGGTCCTGTCTGCTGGCCCTGCTTCTCCCTCTCCCAGCTCTCACCTTGAACTCTCTGGGCACCGTGAGCTTTGGCGTGGCGAGGCCCAGGAAGGCATCAAGGCCACAGCCCAGCAGGATGGCCAGGACTGAGGAGAAGTCGCTGAGTACCTTGCGCACCTGGCCACACAGTGGACACTCAGTCAGGCTCAGGCCTGCCATCACCCCGTCCCATTCACAGGCAGGGCCCCAGGCCAAGACCTAGTCCTCTCCCACAGAGAGAGTTGACACTCACCGCAGACGGGAAGAAGCGGCTTGTCTTGACCTGCTTGAAGGCCATGGCAAAGAGGAAGGAGGCAAGGAAGAGGAGGAGGGAGAAGAAGGCGATGTCTGGGACTGTCTGACAGCCAGGGCCGCGAGGGTGGCCTCCCTGCCGGACACACTCAGGTGGAGGCAGCAAGGACGCATTGACCAGGCCTAGGTCCTATATGGAGTGGTGGTCAGGGGTGAGGTTATGGGCGCAGGCAGCACAAGCATCCACTGATGCCCCGTGAGACACCGAGGGCCCAGGACAGGAGGCTCCTCGGTGACCTCTGAGGGTTCCTCTAGCCCAGCGCTTCTCAACCTGTGGGTCGCGACCCCTTTGGGGGTCGAACGACCCTTTCACAGGGGTCGTCTAAGACCATTGGAAAACACATATATAATACATATTGTTTTTGTGATTAATCACTATGCTTTAATTATGTTCAATTTGTAACAATGAAATGGGGGGTCACCACAACATGAGGAACTGTATTACAGGGTCGCGGCATTAGGAAGGTTGAGAACCACTGCTCTAGCCTGTGGGATGGAAAGAGCCTGGAACCACTGACTTATTCTTCCCAGGAACAGGTCTCACCGTGCTCAAGAGGTCGTCTGTGTCTTTTGGCTTTGTCCTTGTCCACTGAGACTCATTTCCTGGGAAGCAGAAAAGAATTTGGGTGTGTGCTCCGCCCCCCGGAACCTTCTCCAGCCCCTCCGGAGCCTAATCTCATGGGTCCAACGGAACCAGAAAGTTCTGGCTCATCTGTCTGCTGCCTCCAAGAACTACCATGTCTGCTCCTCCGGACACTGCCTCGCGCCCTGGCTCCTTCAAATTCTCACCTTATCTGTATCCCTGGTGCCCAGCACTGGACTGGCTAGAGCAGACGCCCAGCAAACATTTGCTCAAGGGATGAGCATACACATCCACCAGGGGCGGGACTGGTCTTGTTCACGCCTGGCGCAGAGACTGGCACTCTTGAGGGGACACCCCTTCGCCAGTCCTGCTGTTTCCTTCATGTGGAGGGATATATGCAAGTGTAATCCTCTGAGCTTCTCTCCACTAGTCAATCCCTCGGTCCAAGGGGAAGAGCAGCCATTTATTTGATTGCTGAGCTTGGGATTAGAAGCTGGGCATGGCTGACCCGCCCTTTCCTCCCCTGCTCTTGGGAGTGAGCCGCCTGCACTTGCATCTAACTGCTCCCTTTTCCAGTGGGGCCCTGACCAAGCGGGTAAGTCTACCTGATTTGGGTTTTATTGTTAGGACGCTCATTCACCCATAGATATAACCATGTTCCTCTATCAGCATCGTCAGAAATAAAGACGGTATTGGGCCTGCTCTGTGACTTATTTTCACCTGATTTAGAATCGTGGTGGGGGAGGTGCTGCGGTTGTTGGGTAAGTACTCAGATTTTTGCTGAATGTAACCGGGGAGGGGGGACAGCAAGGAGACACCCTCTCCCTCCTCATCCTCCCTTATCTTGCCAAGCTCCCTATTTCCCGCACCCACCTCCAGGGTCTGGGTACTGGCAGAAGCAGCCGTAGGCGGGAGAGCCAGGCCTCTGGATGGGATAGGCACGGGTCAAGCTCAGCATTTTGCCCACGGCGTCGTAGATGAAGATGAGGCTGATGAGGGCACAGAAGCCTTCCTCGGTGAATCGAGTAAAGTAGCGCACCAGCACACTGGCCTCTGTGGCCACCAACACCAGGCAAAAGGTGGCCACCCAAATGCCCACCCATAGGCGGAAGGGCAGGTAGTCCAGGCTGTAATCTCTGGGGGGTGAGAGACAGGCAGGGTTTGGCAGGGCCATTCTGCTCCCCACTTAACCCAGGTCAGGTGCCCCTAAAGCCAGACAGTTCCACCCTCCCCTACTGACTCAGCCAGGATCAGGCCAGTGAGGTGAGGGAGTCCCACCTGCTGAAGGAGAAGAGCAGGCGTTCAAAGACCAGCACTGGCCCCGTGCTGCTGAGGATGGTCAGGGGCTGGCCGGCCATCAGGCAGAAGGCAGCTCCTGCCACCGCTGTGCCCAGGAAACTTTCCAGCACCCCCTAGGGGCCAACATGGGGCCTTGTCAGCACAGGACCTTGGCGTCCTCAACACAGGAACCCAAGCTCCCAGGGGCCTCCACACCCACCCATAGTCCCAGGGAAGGGCGAAGGGCATGGCTGCGGGAACACCAAAGCTTGTGCGCTCCCCCTTCCACATCCCTACCCACCTGAGCACCGTCGGTGGCTTCTCCTAGCAGCCCCCCAAAAGTGATGGCGTTCGTGATGGTGGCCAGGTAAATGTAGAGCACAGCGGAGAAGCACTGAGGGTGCAGGGCGTCCAAGAAGTCACTGGGGTACCACGGGGCCTTCCTCCGGACGTCCTGGACAAGGCCCCCAAACAGCCTCCCGCCCATTGGTCGTCAATGATACAAGTTTCCACACGCCACGCTCCTCTCCCCACTACTGCCCCTGAGCCCCTGTCAGTGAGCACACACCTCTATGCTCCTGGGACCCCTTCCTCCGCCCTGTGCACCGATCCTTACTCCTACCCCCGCTCGCCTCACCTGCCCATCCGCTGCAGCTCCGGGCTGGGCGCCTGCGGCGGCTGGCCGTGCCTGTCCTCGGCCGGAGACCCACGCCGGGCAGAGGGGCCCTTGACCTCCTGCATTTGCGAGGGGAGCCTGTAGGGAAGGGGAGCCCCACGCGACTGAGGATCTCCAACTAGCCGCCGACTGGGAGCCAAGTTCATGGCGCCCTGCCCCCTGGTGGCTGCTCGTATCCCTGCGGGCAGCCTCCAAATTCCAAGGTAAGTCCCGGATCCTTTCCTGGAATCCCATCCCCTCCTCAACAGCGGAACTGGACCCAAGACTGTGGGGAGAGAAGGATCTATATGGGATGGTTACCCCGGATACCTTTTGTGTTGAGAGGGCAGACATTTAGGCGGGGGAATCCGGGCTGTGGGGTCCCACCGGCCTGGGGGGAGCACTGTCACCTCCTCTAGGAAGGCATCCAGGGCTGCCAGTAGGTCATAAAGGTTGCAGGCCCGTCGAACTGACCACTGGAATTGCTGGGGACAGGCACAGAGCGGCAGCAAATGCATATCTGAGTTCTCACATCCATTTTCACAGTCTCAAAACTAGACACACGCGTCACCTAGGCAGACTAGTCATTCAAGCATCCGTCCACTAATGCAGGCTCTCAGTATCTGCGGGGTGCCTATTGTGCTAGGTAAGGGGGCGACAGTGGTAGCCAAGGAAACTCCAGCCCTCGTGCTCACACACACACAGCCACTCTCTGCCTCATTGCTGTACTTAATACACATAGAGTCCACACACACACGTACACACGTACACACGTACACACACAGGCCTGCCCCGCTCACCGGGTCACTGAGGAGGACCGCCATCGCCCGGCCCATTTCATGGTAGCTCCTTCCCAGTGTGGGGGGACCGAGGAGGAGGCAGAAAAATCTGAGGAAAGAACCAAGCCCCAGGGAGGGTCAGAGGCTAATATGCCATAGGACAGTCCTGACTTCTGACCCCCTTACCAGCCTCCATACACACACTTACGTGCACACCCACTTTGCTGCCCTGACCACTAACCCCTCCCCAGGCCCTGAGCACCATCCCCCACACACCCTAAGAGAACTGGACCAGAGATCTCGCAATCCCCTCCCCAGTAACGGCCCTTCTCTGGGCTCCAGGATCCCTCACTCCCATCCGCAGCCTCACCTGCTGGGGAGGGGCACCTCAGTAATGGGCCCCAGCACCACTGGATCCCGCAGTCGCACAAAGGCCCCCAGTGGCTGTGCCAGGAAGCCCAGCTCTCCTGCCAGCACAGCCCCGGCCTCAGCCCCTGGAGGCAGCTTCTGTCTCAGGGAGTTCAGACGCTGATGGGGGTTCAGGGAGACACAGAGGATGAGAGCTTATTTGCGGGGGGGGGGGGGGGGGGGGGGGGGGGGGGGCGGGGGGGGGCCTGCCCCCTGTCCTAGCCCTGCCCCAGGAAGCGTGGCAAACCTGCTCCTTCAGGGGGGCTTCCTCATCGCGGGAAGACTGTCTTGGACGGGCAGACCCTTTAAGACAAGATTTTGCAGTGATTAGGAGCATCGGCTTTGGGAATGGACCCGCCAGGACTCCCTGACCAGCTCTGAAAAAGAACACATCCCACCTCTGAGCCTCAGTTTTCTCATCACAAAAATGGACATTATTGTGGGACTACCGAAAGGGTGCTTGTAAATATTAAATGAGAAGCTCCCAGTGCAGTGCCTACCAAGAACACCCTTTCACAAAGCTCTGGCTGTTACGATTCTAGCCCCTCCGTCCTCCCCTCATCATTATTCCCGCTCTCTCTCGCCCATGAGTCCTGGGTGGAGGGTGGAGGGTGGAGGTCTAAGCCAAGGCTAGGCCACTCCTGGTCCAGGAAGGTGCAGGGGCGGGATCTGGGACCCTCCCATCCTAGGATTTTTGGTTCTGGGCCCAGGGATGGGCCTCTTACCCCAGCAGGGCCTGGTGCTTGTGGTCTGGATGAGGTGCTGGGGTCTCTGCAGTAACAAGGACTGCAGCTGCCCTCTCAGCTCCGGGCTCAGCGACTCCACTCTGGTCACCTGCTCTGGGAAGCAGAGGTGGGGCTCCAACCCTTTCCTGAGAGCTCCCTGCCCCCGAGTTCTCCCCCTGTCCCCTCTGCCCAGGTCACTTTCCCTCCTGGGAGTCTCGGGAAGTGGAGGAGCCAGGGAACTTCTCCTTCACTCTGCTCTTCCATCTCCTCCTTGTGACAGGGATGGGCAATCCCTACGGTGGGTGTGGTGGGCCCTGGAAAATTCCAATACTTTTGGGGGAAATCTGAGGGAAATGATGGCATGGCTCCCAGCTCCTCCCTACAGAGGGCCCCAGCGTACCCACGAGCTCCAGGAGGCTCTGAGCCGGGCAGTCCAGCAGGACAAGGCCCTCCACGAGAAGGCTGCGGAGCTTCTGCAGGCTGGGCAGCGCCAGGGTGGGCACATGGGGGGCACTCCACCGGCCTCCACCCATCTCCAGCTTCTCTTCAAACAGCACCCACCTGCAGTGGAGAAGGGTGGACAGTGTTACTGGACGCACCTCTCCAGGTCCAGGTGGGGACACAGGAGAGCCAAGGAAGGTAAGTAGACGAGGGAGACGTGACCCCAGTGGTGCAGAGTATGCCCTCTTTTCGCAGTCACCTCTCATCTGGGGTCTTGGGAAACTCAAATCTAGACCCGGAGAAGCTGAGCATCAGAGAGGGTTGGGACCTGACATGTGGGCAGAGAGGAGCTTCTGATTGGGGGTAAGAGCACCCCCTACAGGAAGAGCTGGGTCATGGAGGAGGCCCCCCGCTGAGGGGGTAAGGGGGGGGGCATAAAACTGGCCTGGGTTTCACTCACCTGCCTGTCTCTCTCCACTCTAGCGCCTGGGGCCAGCCCAGCAGCTCATTCAGCTGAATGAAGAGCAGAGGGTCCTTGGGTACCCCAGTGTCTGGGGAGCCATCGGGGCTGGGGCCAGAGCCTGGGCCGCTGTCCAGCTCTCCTGTGGGCACATTTTCCTGAGCACTGTAGACATCAAGCTCCTCCTGGCCCGGCAGCTTCATCTCGGCGAGGCTTGCGCAGCTTTTTGGAACTGGTACAGTCTGGGGTTCTGAGTCCAGGGGCCCCCGGACTGGCTGCATTTATAATGTACCCCCCAAGCAACACAATACAAACACAGCAAGGCCTGCTGACTCCAGAGCCAACCGGGTTGCCTCCTCCCCTGCTTGCTTTCTCCATCCCTGACTGGCCTGAGAGTGTTTGCTAGGGTAGCCTGAACTCTCCCAGGCTCTCCAGAAACGTCCTAGCTGGGGCCAAAAGTATTGTGTGCATTTTTTTGTGGGATCACGCCTGACCTCACAGTATTTTGTGTAAATAAATAGGAGTAAATTGTTGGCCTGGGTCTGAGAATTGACAGGGCCAGATTATGCTGCCCCCTATTTTGTATCAAATAAAAACACCAAATACTCAGAACTGTTTTGGTTGTCACCAACACACCCTGAGGGCACTCAATAGGACAAACAGAGACCTAACTAATAGGTGGGTCCATAGAAGCCAGGCAGGGTAAAGGAAACAGCAGGTAGAGGCCCTGCCCATTAAGTGGGCTAATGGTGGAAAGTGGAAGCAGTTCATGAAGAACATAGCAGCTGTGTCTTACATTCTTTTGTCAAACAACACCTGGATACTCCACAATTTAACTATGTCCTTGGGGTCTGCCCTGGTAACTGAACCCCCTGCTGAAGATGGAGGAGCCAGCTAGGGTGTGTGTGTGTTTGAAGGTGTTCCTGGAGCTGAATGAGCAAAGGAGAATGTGGGATATTGTCAAGTTTTGTTGGCTCTACCTTCAGGCCCAGCATCCAACCACATCGCCCATCTCCAACACGACTCCCCTGATCCAAGCTGCTAACATTTCTCCCCTGAATTATTTTAATAGCTTTCTAATCTCTTGCAATAATCTCCCTGCTCCCACTCTTTCTTCCTTGCCCAAAGTCCATTTTCTTTTTTTAAATGTATTTTTATTGATTTCAGAGAGGAAGAGAGCGATAGAAACATCAATGATGAGAACAAACCATCGAGCGGCTGCTTCCTGCACTCCCCGTGCTGGGGATTAAACCTGCAACCCGGGCATGTGCCCTTGACGGGAATTGAACCTGGGACCCTTCAGTCCGCAGGCCGACACTCTATCCACTGAGCCAAACCAGCTAGGGCCTAAAGTCCATTTTCTACACAGCAGCCATAGGGGTCCTTTCAAAAGCCAATCTAGTCACACTAGTCTTGTACTCAAAACTCACCCAGTCCATTCCCATTACTCCTAGAAGAATTACAGTCTGTCATGGCCTACAAGTTCTATAGTCTGGCCCCAGCTCACCTTCCTGGCCATGTCTCATATCACTCTCCCTGCGCTCTCTGCTTTCCAACCACACTGGCCTTTGTTTGTTTTGCAAAGCCTGTGCCTGCCCCAGGGCCTTTGCGTAGCTCTTTCCTCTGCAAGGAAAGCTTTCCCCCAAACCCGCACATGACTGGACCCCTGTCATCTGAGTCTCATCTCAGATGGTATCTATTCAAGGAAACTTTACTTTTCCATCCTGTCCCGAGTTTTCCTCTTGAGTCACTCTTCACATTTCTCTGTTTTATTTTCTTCCTAGCAGTTACCACTGTAATAACTGCCCCGGTTATTTATTTGTTTATCGTTTATCGCCTGCCCCTCAACGCACACACACCGGACTGTGCCATCCACAGAGCAGGTATTTTATCTATAATCTCTACCGCTACCCCTAGAGCACCTAGTGGCTGGCCCTCAATAAATACTTGTTCAATGAGCGCATAGAAAGGGTGGGGCTGGGGAATGAGATGCGTTTCTCTTGGAGGCCACACGAGGGCGCTATTCCCCGCTGACCG